TGCCAAGTAATTGTTTTGTTGGAACCCATCCAAAACATAAATAGAATTTTAATTCTCCTTTAGAGTCTGTAACCCCAATTACCCTCTGCAGTTCCCTTGAAAGACTGTGCAACTGAACACATAATTATGAAACACTTTGGAATTATGAAGCAATGTCAAGTTAACTTCAGTTGAATAGCTAGTCTCCCTTTAAAGAAAGGAAAATTCAGTTATTAGAAAGCTGGAAGAGGTTCACATCATGTCACTGAGACTTCTCAGTCCTTAAGGAGGTGATTATTTGACTCTTTTATCTGTCTTTTTACCTGGTGCTGAACTTTATTTTATCAGTACCTTCACTGTTTCCTTTTACATGTCATGCATATCTAGGGGAAAAACACAGATAAGGGCATTGATGAATTAAATTTCCTTTTTCTAAAAGAAGATATTCACTTCCTTTTTTTGGTGAAGGTGGTGCCAAGGGTGTTACTGTGTAACCAGAGGAAGGTCTGTCAGGGGGTCTGGGTTGGAGAGATGCTAATATTGAATAGAGCCTATCTTCTCTTGAGGCTTCTATCACTAAACAGAAGCTTTAAAACAGGAGAGAAATTCTAAAGTCACCCCCAGTGCAAATGTTGTTCACATGTACACAACTAAATTGTTTACCCTCACTCAGCTCTGTGCTTGGCTGTTGACTTTTACTCATAGCAAATATTGGTTTGCTGCCCCTTGACTTCCTTTTTCTCTGGCCTCTGGGCAGATTTGCTGGGTCAGATGAATAAATCTGTTCCTCCTCCCTTCAGCAGGAAGCCACAGGCAGCCTTTCTGTCACAGAGGTCTCACTGAATGCAAACTGGGTCCCACAGAATAGCATCTTTACCAGTCTCAGTTTGTTCTTTGTTCCCAGCCTAATTTTCAGGCCTTTTCAAAAGTCATCTTGTTTCAGAGTGCAGAGGGACTCAAAGGGAGGACTCCTCAAAGAGGCTTCTATCTGCAGGAGGAATCTTGGCTTTGGAGGGAGCTAAGAACTGGGAAAATCTCTCACTAGACTAGAGTTAACATCTTAAGATTTCCATTTACTTTCAGCTAGTCTGAATTTTAGTGCACATGAGTAATTTTGTTTTTACAGTCTCATGAGTGAGTTTCACTAGTTGCCTATGAGAACATTTCCTCTAGTGGTGGCTGGAAATTACAGGGATTCCCTTCCCTTCCCTTCCCTTCCCTTCCCTTCCCTTCCCTTCCCTTCCCTTCCCTTCCCTTCCCTTCCCTTCCCTTCCCTTCCCTTCCCTTCCCTTCCCTTCCCTTCCCTTCCCTTCCCTTCCCTTCCCTTCCCTTCCCTTCCCTTCCCTTCCCTTCCCTTCCCTTCCCTTCCCTTCCCTTCCCTTCCCTTCCCTTCCCTTCCCTTCCCTTCCCTTCCCTTCCCTTCCCTCTTTCATTTTTCTGACTTGAGTTTGTTCCTTCTCCAAAACTCCTGAGTTTCATGATCTCTCTTAAAGTTCTCAAGGCCTCTACACAAACTTCAGAAGGTCCTTAAATAACACCTAATTCTGTGACAGGACATGATGAGAAGCCCTTCACCATTCCTGTGCTGTTACAAGTTCTTGTTTATAAGTGTATAATTTTACTCTTGGCTGTTCTTTGTTAAAAATAGCGTTAAGGTAATTATTAACAACTTTCACACCTGCAAATACTTTAAATCTCAAGATGACATCTGCATGGTATTATAGTCCTGTGGTTTGAAAGGGGCAGTGACCATTCTGGACACAAAGCAAATAAAAAAAAACACCAAAAAACCCAACCCCCCCCCCCCCCCCCCAAAAAAAAAAACCCCACCAAAACCAACCAAAAAAAAAAAAAAAAAACAACAAAAAGAACCCCCACCCCAGATATGAGATATAAACCATTCCCAAGACATACAGCATTTATTTCAAAATGCCTAGTTAAGTATATGACCTTTGGTTTTAAAAAGTAATTATCAAAAGCTCATTTCATATGAGCTCCCTTCTCTTTTCCCCCTCATGGTTGATTTGTATGGACTTCCATGTTTCCATTATCAAACTGCTGAGGGGATATTGCTACCAATGATTTATATGTCTGGTGCACTTTGGTATTTTTGGTATTTCTTCTAAAATAGCTGAAGAAGCTTAAGCTGAAGCTTATAAATCACTGTGTGGTAAATTAAGTAGGGTTTTAAATAAGAGATTGTGACAAAATGAGCTGAGCCTTCTTTTTCTTAATCATCTTCATTAAACTTGGCTGTGGAAGAAGAGTCTTGCATGAATTAGGACAAATACCTGCAGCAGGCAGATCAGTGGTTATCCAGTGTGCTGTTCAAACGTGGGGTGAGTTTTTTTACTGGTTTGAAATGTGGAACATCCAGCTCCAGTCCACCCAGCTGTTGGCTGAACTGGCCCTGCAAGTCCCCAGTGGGCAGCAGGAAACTGCAGCAATTGCTGCCTCAGCTGCAAATGCTGCATTGATTCAGGACTCCCGCTGCCTTGGAGGGAAGAGGAGGCTGCAGGTGTTTTTCTGGTGCTGAGAGTAGCAGAATGCTGCTCAGGATAGTTGGATGGGGATATTTTAAGTCCTTTGATGTTCTGATTTTAGAGGGCTTGAGCCTTGATCAAGTTACCTCAAGTAACAGGAGCAGGTCTGTGAGCTGCCCCTTGCCTGGTGGAGCTTGAAAAAGAGATGGGGATTCTCAAGGCAGGTAGAAACCTATTTCTGCTGCAGTTGCTGTCCATGTGAGGAGTGATGGTATAAGAGGAGTACCAGGAGAGAGTTTATTCATTTGAATTCAGGAACAGCATTAGTTTCAGGCAGATCAGAAAAAAAAAAGTTTAGAAAATAAATGTGAACTAGTGTACATTTATTTATGGTTGTGCCAGAAAATACACAGAGCACTGATTCCTCAGTAGTCCTGATGCCTTGAGAAGGCTGAGCTAGAAAAGAGGCTGGACAGAGTTAAAGAATAAAGCAGGGATTTATTAAAAGGCCTCAATGGATCCACCTTGGGCAGCACAAGAGCCCAGCCAGGGCTGCACCCAAGATGAACCAGAATGGTCACAAAATGCACAACTGGGCATGGGGTTTCTCACTTTTATAAGCTCCATTTGCATATTGGAGTTCATTGTCCAATTCCAGCTTTAGGTTATGAAGTCCCATCTTGTTTGTTTTTCTCTCTTCAGTCCACGCTGTTTGTGCTCTTGGGCCTGAGATTTGGATCATTTGTCCTTGGTCCCCAGCTAGGGAAAGAATTGTTTTGTCTCCCTACTCTCTGAAGAGAGCTCAGCATCCCCTCATATGAAGCTCAGACCCACACACTAAAGCAGCACAGAATCTGGAAAACATAAAAGCTCAAACCTGAGGCATCAGTCCAGCTATTAGATGCAGTAATCTTACTCATACCATAACAAAATCTGATCAGTTTGCTAAGAATAAAATGCAGTGTTTGTGATAGCGTGCTGATATTCCTCCCATCTACAGATAGTGTGTTTGTCAGTCCTCTCTGCTAGAAGGTAAAAGTTTTGAATGGCATAACTGTGTGGAATTAACTCTTCACATTAATATTTGAAATAAACCTGATAGTACTATGAGCTTTACTGCTGCTGGAGCTCTGGTACTATCAGTGTCATGACTGAAAGTCGCAACTGGACTTCTATTTTTCTACATTTCTCAATTAAAAAGAATTACATAAAGCCAAACAACTTGAAATAATTGTTATCCCATTTGGAAGAAGGGTTTCCTAGTGCTGAAGCAAGATTCAGTCCTGCTGCAATTGTGACCTCTAGTGGGAAAAACCAGTTTGTTATCAATGGTAATGCAGTGAATTGCAAAGTAATTGAGTGTTGCAATATTCATTATGTCTGATGTTGCAGCATTTCTAGGACTCATTAATGGTACAATCCCTGCAAGGCACTGTACTATCTATGTTAAAAATACAATTTATTCCCAAGAAAGCTCCTGTAAAGTCCCAGCATGTTTTTATAAAAGCTCATTTTTATAGAAACATGGTCTCAGGCTTTCAGAAAGAGGATTGGAAACACATTCAATTGCAGAAGCAGAAATTGCTTGGAGAACATTTCCTTGTCACAAGTCTTGTTGTTATCCCACAACAATAAAATATAATTGCAGTATTATTTGTGTGCAAATCTGTTGAGATGTTTCTAGATACCAGCTCTGGGAGCCATTGTTAGAAAAGATTTATCATGCCATTAAACAAGGCAAGAAGATTTGGAAAATATAATTCAGGAAAATAGTCTGACAGCGAAGTACATGGTACAGCAAACAAGAACTGCATATGGTATTTTTCATATTTGGATGAAGACAAAGTTGTTTATAATCTTAAATTATCAACATATGTAGGCTGCAGACTTTCTTTAATCTTCAAATAACTGCCTATTGTAATGTATTTCTCACTGAATGCATTTCTCTACATTTATATTTCCAGCTTTTGCAAACCAGCAAGCAACTACTGGATGTAGACAGCAGCTTGTTTGCCTTGAAATAGTTTTGACTTTTGACTAAACACAGTAAAAAAAGAGGTGTCTTTTGTACTTGTGGGGTTGTCTTTGTTATATTTTGGGGTTTTTTTACAGTTTGAGTATGCAAGATTGTACCTGATAAATCATAGCTAAGCTTGGTTACTTAACAAAAATCTATCACCTGCAATATTTATTATTATTATAATGCATTTTGCTGTTGCCCTGCTGATGCCAATGTTTGTTATTCTGTTCATGGAAGGCAGCACTGCCAGGCACTGAGACAGAGGGAGGGACAGCCTTCCACATCCCCAGCACCTGAGTCACTCACTGAAGTTTCCCAAAGCCCCAAAAAGCTGAGATCTTCCCCCAGAGTGGGAGTTGGGAAACTGCCTTGGGGCTTCAATGAGGAACTTCCAAGGGTAGCAGGAAAAGGGAGGTGTTCCCTAGGGAACATATTGAGTTTTGATGCCACAAAATGATAAGTATGAAAAGAGGTTTGTATGCTGGCACTGATTGAAGTCTCTTTCTTCTTATTTTCAGGGTATGAACATAATCTTCCATGTGGCTTTGGCTCTTTTAAAGGTAAGTAATTTTTTTAAACATTTATTTTGTTTTATTAAACTAAAACACTGATTGTCTTAATATCATGTCTAAAGGAACAATAATAGTGGGACCTCTGGAGAAGGGAATGAAGGAGAAATATCCATTTGCATAGAGATGTCTTCAAAATTGCATTTATGAAGATATGCTTTTATTAAACTTAATAATATCATAAAGCTTGTGGAACAAGGGATACAGTCTAAAGATTTAAATGTCTCATGTAATTACTGTGAAGAAAACAATTCAGATTCATTTCACAGCATATCTGTTTTGTGTCTGGGTTCTTTTGTATAAAACATGATTGACTGGTATCAAATGTAATTGTGGTACTGAGAGAGGAAAAGAAATCTCTAATATGGGGAACTTCTGTGTCACCATCATATTTTCTGAAAAATCCTCTTTGCCCAGGATTCTTCTCCTGGGAAGCTGAGAGGCCTCAGAGAAAAGGAAAACAATATTATCTCATTTGCTTCTCCTGTGTTTTGCTGCTTTGGAATGTGGTTTGGAGATGGTTTATCCAACAGGTGGTTGGTTGATTGGTTTCATATGAATTGTTTTAATTTAATGACCAATCATGGTCAGGCTGTGTTGGGCTCTGGAGAGAGTCAGGAGATTCATTAGCATTCTTTGTAGCCTTCTGTTTGTATCCTTTCTTTATTCTTTAATATAGAGCAGAGCAATTTGAAATTTTCAAATAATTTCATGTATATTTGCACAGAATCATGCCATCTCCTGAGGTGGGAGGGACCAAAGGATCACTGAGTCCAACTTGAGGGCAGGTGAATTCAGGGAAGTACTGCAGTGTGGGCAGGAGATAGTGCATATCCTTATGGTGAGGAAATGTCCAAAATAACCTGTGTTTTCCTGTGTTTTACACAAATTATGTTGAAAATGGGAACTTGTCGCTATAGGACACAAAAGAACACACACTCACACCGTTCTCAAGGTGAAAGAGAAAAAAGGGCAGTTTATTTTCTGACTCCAACATTTATAGTTTTACAAAAGTGACAGTGGATTGGAGGGTGACAGTGGCACCTCTCCAATGCCACTGGTTAAACCAACAGTCCATCAACTCTCTCCTCCTCCATAAAGGAATGCAAAACAATGAGTTATTTACAGAAAGTGTGTGAGAAAATTCACTACAAGAATGTCAACATCAGAAGGCTTAGAAAATCTTAAAAACCCAGGGTGACAGGAGCTCTCTACCTCAATGAATGTATTTAATGAAGACTCCTATAAACAGGAAATTGGTTTCATATATCTTTCCAGGGAAGTGCTCCTACACAAATTGAAATTTGTAAAAAGGAGGAAGGGAAATGCATGCTCTTTTCTTCCTGTTTCATGTTTTATTTGCAGCTGTGGGGGCTTTTTAATATGCCATTTTTCCAGGCCAGCATGAATAATGGGTAATCTGGTAGGTTATGGCATGCTGGTGAGAGGAATAGTGAATTTGTCTACAAACAAGCTGGTAGATAAAACCAGCACAGGGAGATAAAAGAAACAATGGGAAGGATTCCATTGATTGATGAATGAGAAAAGATATTTGCTTTTACAAATAAACTTTAGGTTTGCTGATAAATGAAATTAGACACTGAAAGATGAAAGAAACAATAGAGAAGAAAAACCCCTAAATTCCATATCAATTAAAAATTAAAAGGGAGGGTTATACATGAGAGGGAAATCTTTGGTATTAGGCATTCCAGGAAATCTGTACCTTTCAAGTACCTGAGCCAATGGGGAAAGAGAGAAGGGAAATGTGGCTGGGAAATTGGGATAAAAAGGAGGCTGTGTCCTCCAAAAATTGGAGAGATCCCAGGGGAATGCCCCATGGCCTCTCCCTTTATTCCAATAAAGTCAAAGGACTCCTCTGTCTCCTTTTTGGACATAAACCTCTGGTGTTTGTGGGTTAATTTTCCTAACACTAGTGAGGAAGGGAAAGGAAGAACCCAGCCCACAGCCAGCAGGTTTGCTGCTGTCATGGTAGGAACAGGTTCTGGGAAGAGGCAGAGGTGCCAGCTCAGGGATCTTAAAGCTAAAGAAGAAAAGGAAGAGAATTTGCACAGAGCTGCAGGTGGCTGACAGGGTTTTCAGGGAAGGAGAACTGGGTTCAATTTAATTATGAAGGATGGCTTTGGGACCACCTGCTGCTGTGAGAGGGAAGGGCTGAACCAAGGTTAGCAGCAGAACAAGTGTTTAGAAAATATAACTTTGGAAATAATGAAATAATTCATGGGTGTCATACAGCAAATAAGGAATCTTTTCCTGCTGAGCAATTGGCCCAATTAAAATTAACCCAATTTAACCACAAGTGTTCTGTCTTCATTTTACATATACCCCATGACATGCTGCTTCTCCAGTTGAATGTTTCTATTTGGACATTCCAGAGGAAAATTGTGGCATTCACATTCTCTGAAAAATCGCTTTGCCCAGGATTTTGCTCCTGGGAAGCTGAGAAGCCTCAGAGAAAAGGAAAACAATTCTGATCTCATTTGCTTCTCCTGTGTTTTGCTCACATGTGGAATGTGTTTGGAGATTGTTTACCCACAGGTGATTGTTTCATTGGATTCTGCTGGGAGTTGTTTTCACTCTTTGGCCAATCAGTGCCAAGCTGTGTCAAGACTTTGGAAACTTTTCAATATTATCTTTTAAGCATTGTGTAAATATCCTTCCTATATTTTTCAATATAGTTTAGCATAACATTCTTTATTACAATATAATATCATAAAATAATACATTAACCTTCTAAGAACATAAAGTCAAATTCATCATTCCTTCCTTCATCAGGGCACCCCAGAAATGCATTAGAAAATTCAATAATTTAATTTGTCACTCTTATTTCTAAGTATTTCTAAGTTAAAGAGTTGGGTTTAATTCTGCTTGTGGCAGTGGTAGTACTTCTTCTTCCATGTGTGTGCTGTAGCTGCCTGTTCTAGCAGTAATAGACACTAAATGAATGGCAAAGGAGGTTTTATGTGAGAAAGTATTTCTGTAGTGCAGCCAAACAAAGAAAATTGAGGTGAGAAAGGTAAGATTCTAAATCAGAAACACTCACCTAAGAGCACAGTTCCACAGGGGCATGGAGATGGAGCTGGTGCTTACATAAAATTGAATTAACATTCTAATTTGCTTTCAGCAAGAATTGCTCTTCTGTTAGGGAAGAAAATAGTTGAGAATGAAGCCATTTTTGTCCTATTCAAATGTGTTCATAATCTCTCCTAATCATCAGGAGCAAAGTGGTTTAGTGTGATGCTCATTTCAAGTTATAGAACCTGAATGTGCTGCAGAAAAACTGCTTTAAAAACTGTTTCAAAGCTCTTGTCTGCTCTGATTCTGGAGTGAATAAAAACAGCTCCTAAGGATTTGTTCTTTGTTAAAACAGAGCAATTATTCTCTCATCCACAACCTCTTGGATTATTTTAAATTTGGATAAGGGAATCCTTCATCAGTGGAATACTGGAGCTGTTATTGTGTAAATGCCATTTTCCTTGCCTCTAGTGAAGTGTGTGAATGCAAATCCCTCACTAAACAGCGGTGGAAAGAAGCTTTTATCTGGAACTCTCCTGCACCCAGGGCTGTGTCTCACAGGGAGTGCTGTTAGTTTGGAAATGACAGTGCTACTTCTGTGACCAATTGCCTGAGACATCTCGGTGCAGTCATCCTTAGAAAATAAACATTTGAGACACGCAGGAATCCTTCCCCTTCCCTTCTCCCACACTCTGAGTATGCTTGCAGCAATGAACAGCTAGAGAATTAAAGCTCCTTAGCTGTGAAAGCCAAGTTTGGGCATTAATCTGATTTCTTATCAAAGGCAAACATGGATTTCTGTTCTGTAGCATCCAAATGTGCTGCACAGCCTGCTCAGGGTCCCCAGCTGGTGGCACTGTCTCACACTGGGAGTCATTGATTTGCATCATGTAGGGACTGCATCTGAATTACCCTTCAGGATCCTGAGCTGCTGGAAATCCTGACCTCCTCACCTCTCATTTTCTGAGCAGTGGAAAATGCACTGAAGCACTGGCATGTGAGGAGAACCCCAATGTGGAAAAAGACAGCATAAAAATCTGTGGTTTAAAACAACAAACAGCAATGATATTTTCATTTTTTAAATCCCAATTAAGGTGATTAATGAGAATGACAGAGAAAAATATACTCTTCCAGTGCCAGCACACTTCCTAATCCCATGTGTCATCAGCTATTTGGTTTCTTTGCTGGAAATTAAAAGCATTAAAATCCTCACATATGCTAAGAAAAATAAATAAATTGTAAGCTTCCTTTCTTATTTTAGTATTTCATAAAATCATAGAATGTTCTGAGCTGGAGGGGACCTCAAGAACCATCAAACTCCAGCTCCTGTCCCTGCCCAGACCCCCCAACAATCCCAGCCTGTGCATCCCTGGGAGCTTTGTCCAACCCCTCCTGGGGCTCTGGCAGCCTTGGGGCTGTGCCCATGCCCTGGGGAGCCTGGGCAGTGCCAGCACCCTCTGGGGAAGAACCTTTCCCTGAGCTCCAACCTAAACTGGGGTGTTGTGAGGTCCCCAGGATGAGGTGAGATGAGAATTTGACTCCCATGTTCTCAGAAGGCTGATTTATTATATCATGATATTATAGTAAAACATGCAGCACTAAAACTATACTAAACTATAGAGAAAGGATACAGACAGAAGGGTAAAAAAGAATGAATAATAAAAACCTGTGACTGACCAGAGTCCCAACACAGCTGGACTGGGATTGGTCATTAAATAAAAACAATTCACATTAAACCAATCAAAGATGCACCTGTTGATAAGCAACCTCCAGAGCACATTCCAAAGCAATCAGATAATTATTGTTTACATTTCTTTTCTGAGGCTTCTCAGGAGAAGAATCCTGGGCAAAGAAGATTTTTCAGAGAGTATCATAGTGACACGAAACCTCCCCTGACCCAACTGCAGCTGTTCCCTTGGGTTCTATCACTGGTCACCAGAGGGATTTCACTGATTCAT